TTTATCAGATCGTAATCTTTTTCGTCTGCCATAGTAAATCACTCAACGTTTAGATCCGTTTTTTTCAAACATTTTAGCATTTTTTCTACCCGCGCACTGTGCATTTTTTTTTATCCTTACACAGTTTTATTACACACTTCCTACATTCGGTTTGTTATTTTTGTTCATGCATAGGACATTTTCATAACATTAATTTATCAAGAAAATTATGGAAGAGGTTCTTTAATTTATAAAGAAAATTATGGAAAACTGTTATTACTAAATAAAACCGGTACAATTGAGTGTGAACCGCGGAACAATATTTATTTCCCCTGTACTGCAATATATCGGTGTACCGGTAAACCGTTACAGCGCTAGGATCCATGCTGGTCGCAAACCCATTATGTTGGTTTTGTCATGGCGCGGCTCATATGTGTTTTCTATCCTCTTTTTTCATTGGTTATACCAAGTCCTTTCCGGTTCTGGTTCTATGATTTACGGCAATGACCAATAATCGTTTTCGTTCTCAATGTGAGCTATATATATATATATATATATATACACACACACACAATATTACACATTCAAATCCATTTTGAAAATTTTCATGAAAATTAGCCTAAATCTGGAGGCGTGCTGCTTTAATACTTTTTATACACCATCTCCTAAACCAACAGTGATGAAACTATACAGGATTTTCCCCAAGATGATCCTTGATGTAAATTTCCACAATAATCCCTGTCCGCTGAACAAAATGACTGCCAGAGCCAAATATAGAAAATCTTGCTCAACCTCTTGAAGATTTTAATGAAAACATTATGTAGTCATTTACAAAAAATGCTAAAATAGTTCAAGTCTGTTAAACGAGATGGCTGTATAATTGATTGGCTTTATATGGCATATTTTCTGTCGCTTTGCTAATGTAACAGTGATGAAACTATACAGAAATATGAAATACCCATGATGTTGATCAAAGTGATTCTTAACTGGCCGAATAAAAAAACCGGTTAAAATCAAGTTTTATTGGTGGTCATCTTGACCAAAATGATTCTAATTCTATCTAAAGTGAGAGGACCACATCTAGGCACATTATGCCTCAGAAATCATTAATTGTTTATAGAAAGGGCAAAAATGTGTTTAATAATGTTCTAACGTGAATTTAGAACATGCAAAATGCTTATTACCTGAAGAAAAAAAACATTGAATGTGAAATAGTTTATAATAAGGATAGCAAAATGCAAAGGAAGTGGTACTTTCACTTCCATACAAATGTTACGATAACCCTCCATATTGACAAAACGTAAAGAAAGTAAGAGATGGCTCAAGTATATATGACCAATGAGTAAATGTAGCAGACACAAAAAAGTAAAAGCTTTTGTAAAATACAAGCATTTTTATGCTTAATAGGCGTAATTAGGTGTATCTACCTGCCAAATATGCAAGTATGAAGGTACGCAAATTGAAAGCCTAATAACGTGAATCAAGAGGCGTTTTTTTATACGAGTAAAGGCGTTATAATGCAAATCAAAACGCAGATCAAAAGACGTAATAGCAAATAAAGGCGTTATATCGCGAATAAAATGACGAAATAACGTGAATAAAGGCGTTACAACGCGAATCAAAATGCCAATTTATACGAATCAAAAGGCGTTATAACGCGAATTAAGGCGATTATATAATGCGAACCAAAGGCATTATAACGCAAACCAAAAAGCGTTATATAACGCGAACCACTATGCCAATGATAAGACTTCATATGGTTAAAATTAGCATATTCTTACACTATCGGAAATTTTTCTATATGAACAAAGAAGCCCCAAAGCGTGCACTATTTTACAACAATGCACTCGCCGTTCTTATTATCTCCCTGTGTATTTTCACATTTTGTTTGAAAAATCTGATAAATTAAAAACAATTGTTTGTCGAATTTTGTTGTGAAAACTATCTAGAATGAAAGAAAATGGTCTAACTAAGAAAATGAATCCGAACACCAATATCTTTAATTCAGTCGTTAACGCTGTAAGGACGTTTAAAGTGTTGTTTATGTGACGTCACAATGAAGCGCCAAACAGCACGTGCAAAACAATCAAATCAAGTACGCTATTTTAATGTCGCAAACGAGTTAAGTTTTACATTTGTTTCACTTTTAATAGTTTGTATTTCACTTGGAAAATTATAGAGTGAAATAAAATAAACAAACAAAGCTTTATCAACGTTTTCAAAATTGTTATTCTCAAAATGTTTCTACACACGGTAGATTTAACGACAGTTTTTACCAACCCACTGGAACAGCTTTAAAGAACGGTTCTATTGGAAACTATGAGGCGAAAACAAATTTAACCACCAAACATAAAGTCCAACTTAATAATAATTATATTTTTTCTTGACGTGTTAGAATGAAAATAGATATTAATTCTTCGTGCATTATTTAAGAAATAATATATCCCAAACTGTGATTTTATTGCTCAATAACATCACTGTTTGGAGTTCGGATGAGAGGAATTATATCACGAGGGCGTAGCCCGAGTGATATAATGATGCGCATCCGAACGACAAACAGTGATGTTATCAAGCAATAAAATCACCGATTTGGATATATTATTTCGATTCTAACACGACATCAACAAATAAATGCTGCCGTATCTGATATTTAGCTAAATTGCGTCTGATTTGTTTCCGTACTTATTGTCAGCGCGTCACATTTTTAGTGGTTACGTCACGTGTATAATGATTACGTCACATGTCTAAATATAGAACGTCAAACAGTGATTTTATAGCATAATAACACACACTTTCGGTTCTTCTATGTTCAATAGGGAAAAATGCGAGTCGTGTTAGAATTCCTAAATAACGCTATCTTATTCGCGTTATTACGCCTTTATTTGCTTTGCTACGCCTTTTTTCGCATCATTACGCCTTTTGCGTCGCGTAATTACGTCTATTGCCCTTTATTCGCGTTTATATGCGTTTATCAGCGTTTCTTTGCCCTTTGTTTCGTGAAATTACGCCTTTTGGTTCGTGTAATAACGCCTATGCCATTTGATCCGCATTATAACGCCTGTTTGAACGTTAATAAGGTTTTATTGTATATAGAAATTAAGCAAATAAATCGTGAGTAAATCATTATAATGATATTTTCGATAATAAATTTAATTTATTTCTAATTATATACGTCTACAAACTGCAATTTTATTGTAAAAGTCTATTAAAACGGTATAATTTATATTTTAAAAGTCACTTGCGCATACTTTCGTCAAAAAAGTCACTTTCGTATTTTAACAGGCGGTGAAGAAGCTACTTGTTACCTTTGGCACCATGCGATACGATATTATCTAAAATGTCATGTCGTTTGAGATTGTCGCATGTCGTTTGAAATTATCGCGCGTCGACCCTCAAACACAAGCGCGACATACGATATGACGCTTCGCATTGTCGAGCGCCGTTTGAGATTGTCGCGTGTGGTTTGATAATGTCGCCGTCGCATTTGCAGGGTCGACACACGACAACGCGAAGCGACATCGCGACAACGCGAAGTGACATAGCGACAATGCGATACGACACTTGATCGACAATGCGAATTGACATCGCAATATATCGTGCTTTTATAGGTGACATTTTAAAGTGGATATCGCGACATTGTCATTTGAGATTGTCACCGTCGTTTGCGATTGTCGCGTGTCGCTTCGTAATATCGCTATGTCATGTCGCGTTGTCGCGTGTCGACCATGCAAACTCGACGGCGACATTATGAATTGCCCCAACAGGATTCCGTACTTATGAGATAAAGAGAGACATTTAGTCTGTGTTTGATAGCGAACGCCATACATACTCGTTTGTATGCGTTTTGCGCTGAGGCAAAATGCCAGGTAAACAAGGAAGAATGAAATCTATTAAATCGTGTCATGTCAGTTGTCATGTTATATGGTATCATTTTCGAATCGAAAGATATTCTTGCTAACTAAAGTTCATTTTGTGATTTCGGTATAGCTGTTGCCATGAGCTGTTGATTATAACAAATAATTAAGCCAAACGCAAAGATACTTGATCAAGTAAGGCAAATGAAACTACGTGTACTCTTGTTTTGAAAATGGCGACACATAGTCTATAATACTACTGTAATTATACAGAAAAAGAAACTAGTACCTAATGAATGTATTTGATATCAGATCACGAAAAATTGAAATGTATAAGATTTAATTATGTGCAGCCATTTCATATTCTCAAACATTGCATTGCAAACTTTGTACACGAATATCGGTATATCAGTTGCTAACAGTCTTGTCTTAAGTGGTCCATAGATAAGATTATTTAGTTACCTTACTAAACGAAAAATACGACTTAGTTTACAAAAAGGACATGTAATGTAATAACAGTAAAAAACAAAAACAACAATAAACACAAATAAAAAAAAGAAATGGAGGTAATGCAAAGCCGCAATTGTCTCTTTGTTTTCTTTTCACTTTAATGTCAAACCCTTAAACATTTTTTTTTATAAAAGCAATCATCTTGCAAAGTTTACAAACACAGTACTATAAAAGTATGTATTTCAAACTAATAGTTGAAATTCGCCCAGATGACTATTCTACGTTGGTAATTGGTGAATAACAAATCTATCTGAAAACCAATGTTTTAATCCTTAGGAACAATTAAATACAATTATTTTCTGTCTGTTTTCATATCATACATAACGAGATCAATGAACACGATCTTTAATTATAGAGTTTTAAGTAAAGAATCACTATATATCGAAAAGAGAAAGCTGTCCCTGCCGTAAAGCTAAACTGGGAATAAGACCAATATATTTGTTCATTTGAAACCGAATTCATCTCAGTTTGTAAATATGTGTAGCAGAAATGTAAAAAAAAAAGACGTATTAGTTAACCAGATGTCATATCCGACAAAGCAGTTTAGTAATACCCTTTTAAGTGGCAAAAAGAAAAACTAAACGAAATCTGTTCAAAGGTAATATAGTTTTTTTTTATAAATATGGTATTGTAAAAAGTGTCATTGACAATCTTTAATGATATAAAGATATAACTTTGATGAGATAAAGAAACTAAAACTAAATCAGTTTTTTATTTTGAAGAAGCTCTACCATACAAATTTAATCCAAAACAATTGCAACCATGGATTCCGTTACTCTCCTGCGCATCGGTCGAATGTTCCACTATCGCTCACTTCTTTCGTCTGAAGTAACGGGAGTGTATTCATTAAGCTGCGAAGGGAGCGTAGGATTCCGTATTCAGTTATGAGATATCTATATCAAATAATCATGTGATAGAGAACGTATTTCTATATAATTTAACAAAAGAGCTTCTGTTAAAAAACAACATTTGATTGATAAAATTGTTTTTTGATACAAAGAAACAAATAACGAAAAAATCAACAACACCCCCGCCCCCACACGCACAAAAAACCCACAAAAAAAAATAAAACAAAAAACATATCTAATTCATATCCCACTCAAGTCAAATACTACATCGCTGTTGATTATGAAGGTTTATGCATGTATTTTTCTTGCGGTCTCCCACGCCTTTCTTTTAAATCTTTCTTTATTTTCTTATTCACGTCTTTCATGTTTTCAAAACTTTGCTGGAGAAAACAATCATGAACAGTTACATCTGAATAATCTTTTTTATATAACCCGTCATATAGACTAGTCCTCGTGTCGTTACTCCGAAAATGCAGCAAAACAAGGATTATACCTCTATCACGCTCACCTGCAATTGAGAAACATACAATTACAATCACACCGTGCTTTAACAACATTTAAAAAATTCAGAAAAATTTTCTCTTAGAATAATTCTTGCTTCGTTTCGCTTGTATTGTAATTCTTGAAATACAATATTTAAATGGTTAAAAAGATTGTATTTTGTTAATTTTTTACCATTATTGGTTATTTGTTTTTTTTTGCAATTGAAACATTGTTTTGTTATTTCTTAGTTATTTTGTCATTTATGTTTTTTTTAAATTTTTACATATAATTTTATGTCAGTGTTATTATGAAGAGTCTACAATCAAGATTTGTGCGTGCAGTATTGAAATATTTATCAGCGCAGGCCATGCACAAAATTTTCTTCTAGCACAGTAATTCATGAAAGATCTCAATGCATGGAATACTAAAGTTCAAATTTATACATTTAGTGTACACATGTGTACACAAAAAAGATTTGAAACGCCTTACTTTTTAAGTCTTTCAATGTGTAGTTTATATCAGCTTCAGGCCGAGAGTGCATTAAACATAGTGCAATGATAGGGCAGTTTTTCTCCTTGCTGAGACTTGTTGTAATCGATGTTTTATATCCTTTTTTCATCAGATACTTTTGAAGGGTTATCGCAAATGATTTTGTATTGTTTGTATCCCAAACGTCATAGATTATACCTCTTTTATCTGAAACGCATGCAAACTTTCTGCAAGAATATATTGACCACATATGAAACCAAATATATGCTTATATTTTTTGAGAACGACACAAAATTTGGAGGGGATTATGTGTTAGCCGTGTGTGTGTGTGTGTGTGTGTATGTGTGCGTGTGTGCATGTATGTGCATGTGTCCGTTCGAAAAGAAAAAAAGTTTTACTTTTTGTCCCGTAAATTGGTAGACATAACCACCATAGATAGGCAATGTGTCGCGCGCAAGACCCGGTTCCCTGCTCAAAGTTCAGAGTCAAAGCTTGGGGTTAAACTTACTGTATTTGTCATATAGTCTTAAGTGCTGTTCAAGTTTGTGTCAGATTCATACCTTCTGCTTGCATAATGATATGTCAATAAAAATTGGAACTTATGATCACCATATGAAGATAATGTGTTGCGTGCAAGACACAAGTCCGCACCTTTAACGCCAAGGTCGTATTTGAAGGTCAAATGTCAAATTCTGTCCAACAGCGTTGTCATTACTTGATTGATTATGGGAAATTCGACATATGTCTTCACCCCTATAAGACTGATAGTATGTGTCGCATGTTAGATTCATGTCCAATGTCATTTTGGAGGTCAAATGTCAAATCATGTTTACCTATGTCATTACTTGATACATTGTCCAATTACTATAGTAAGTGGATGTCAAATGGTGTGTCAGTCAGGTGGTGTGTCATGCTTAAGACCTTATCTGCAACTTCAAGGTGACGATTGGGCTTCCCGATGATGTATATATTATACGTATGACCTCGACAAGGTGGTACTTAATGCAAGTGGTTGTGTGTAATAAATTATCTACATTATTTTATCTTTGTTTTGGGCATTTTTTTTTATTTTTGATTTGTCTTTTCAGTTATAATTTGAGATTCATACAACGATATAGTAATGACAATGAAACAATTGTAAGTAGAATTAAAATTATGTCTTAAAAAAGTGGCTTTGATTTTTATAAAACATGGTTTATACATTTTATAGTATTTATATCAGACAAAACAAAATCTGCATTTATCATTTAATCTTGCGCTTAAATTTCCCATGTAAGAAAATAAATGGTGAAACTTTGTTATTATAACATTTTATTTCGTCCCTACAATTCTTTTTAATCAATTGTGAAAACTGTTTATTGGAGCTCTGACAAAGGTGAACGTAAACTCCTTTTAACTTTCAAATCCAATATATAAATGGTTACAAATCAAATTGGAAAAAACAAGAGGGTAAAACATAGTGTTTAATTATTACTTACATCTAAAATATAATAAATTATAAATTTACATACCAGCAGCCATGTTTATTATTCGTGTAGAGTTTGTAAATTTTGTATATATAAATACGGATTGATGCATTTATCGCCTGGACTAGATAGATATGAACGTGCAGGATTGATATAGAAGAAAGATAATCAATGATTAAAATGATTAGGGGTCTAGATTTTTTTTTTAAAATGCGTGCAACAGCTTTTTCCAATTAAACCGATACCATGTTTTCTTTCTTCTTCACAAATTTCATAAAATAACTATTCCATGATACAATCATAATAAAAACCAACACATGAATAAACGTAAGACAGTATCCAAGATAATTTAACTGTATGTTTAATTTAGCCAATTAACTATGATATTTTTAGACCTTTGTTAATCTGATATACTCATGAAAGCTGATTCAAGGTTTTAATTGTTTACAAAAACGTATTCATTTAAAAGAAAAAAACAAGTTTCAATTTTAATCATATAAATTAAAAAGAGTCCATAGTTAAAACTATGGTACCTGGTATGAAGAATGTGCTTTTTTGAATGACGGACTGTATAATTCGATCAATTGGTATTGAGGTTTTGTCGGCAGTGGCAATCACGGGGATCACAGGATTTGAGACGCACTTTCAAGTTAATTTCAGTTTCCACAACGTACATGAACAAAAATTAGACCTGAAGAACAAAATGAAACTGAATGACATTGACAGTTATGAGGACGTTTACCTTTAAAGTAGCAAAGTGACTAAAAACAATATTCCCCCCAAAAAACTTTTGCAAGTCAATTATCGCAAAGAAACAGCGTCCGTGTTGATTTCAATGGGACATAATTATTCATGATCGTCTGGCTACAAATGAAGCACCAAGTTACGCATAGGAAGATACATATTCCATTGGGTCAGTCAGTGTGGCACATATAAATTGGTGCGGACGTTACCAACTTTTGATATTTAAGAGGCAAATCAGCTCATAAACTACACCTGGACGTAAGTCCAAAAGCTGAATTTAGCTCATAAAAACAAAAAATAGCTCACAATATGAATTTTATGAGTTTTTGTTCTTTATTCAACTACGGAATGAAGCTCATAAATATCAAATGTTTGCTCGGATTGACAAAAACAAGAAACTATAATCAACGTGGAAGTTTAACACGCACTACAGACGCTGACGTTACGTTAATTTGTGAAAACCATCTCAATGTTCAAAGCCCGACTGACATTTAAACACCTATGGATTCAATAGACTCGATATTCAACGAAATTCAATAAAAGCTTCAGAGTAAGCCTATTAATGAAACCTTTGCTTAGCGATATCTATAACATTGAAATAACAGATACATTATATGATGACAATATAGCAGTGAAATTAACACATAAAGAAGGGGAAAATGACTTCATGGTATTCTCAGGCTATCTTCCCCGACAAACTCGACGAGAGGTCGTGATGCCAAATCATTCTAAGAACATTTATTGTTACAGATCTATTATTACAGTGGGTGTGACAGGAATTTGCGGATTCTTAAATGAATCTAAATTCGTTACCTTAAACGACCGCTATTGTAAAAAGGCGACAACTTTCCATCAATATCAAGAAAAGGTAAATCAGTTGTTGATTATGTATGTGTACCACACGATGTTCCCAACATGTGCAAGACTTTCAACTTCTATTCGGTTCAGTAAATTGATGACTACTGGGGGCAAAATCAAAATTACCGGGCTATTTTGTTTTGATAATGGGCTATATAGGTTAGACCGACTGACGAGACGATCATAGCAAAACCAAATGAATTTCTGGTAAGCCGGACTGGTAACCATGGTAACCAGACAAGATCCCGCCTTCATTATAACTATACAAACGCTAGAAACACATTTGCCAAATGTTTGAAGAAAACTGAATGTACATAAAAAGATCAAAGACGCGTGATTTAGAGAATATATATATACGGCGACATCAAACCCGAATGAAATATGTCGGAAATACAACAACATAAGCATCGGAAATACAACAACATAAGCATCGGAAATACAACAACATAAGCATCATAAAGACATAAGTACTGCGATAGAAGTAGTAAATTGTTACAGTAGTGAACATACCATACAGGACGAAAATGCATTTTTTGGAGCGATGTGAAAAAACTTTAATGCTTTTAAAAACTTTACCAGAAAACGATGAATTGGTTGAAATCATTATGACCAAGCGTAACTTAATAAATTATAAATTATAACTTGAGAACAGCATTTACGACCCGTTTTAAGAGTAAAAAAACTGACAAAACTTTAAATTGCGTGAAATGAGTCATATAGTACAGGAAGGATCATCGTGTGAAATCGATGGAATACCAAATGTACGGATAAAACCTGTTGTTATTGAAATTATTCATCATATCTTTAACTTATTTTCAGAAGTTATTAATACCACTGTCAATACTACTGTCTAATATTATTATCAATACTACTGGTTAATCTGTGTGGCCAAAGGCAATTATTTGTTAATTTCTAAAGGATTCTAATCCCTACAAGAGGATTTATGCATTACCTCGTTTAGTTGTGTTGTATAAGCAACACGACTTTGCAAAACGAGCGACTAACAGACTACTTGGAAAATAATGAAATTCTTAAAAAGAAGCGGTCATGAGAAGATCATACTTTAAATTGACTGTAAATTGTACCACTCAATTGAGAAGATATAAACAAGGTCGGTGTCAGTATCAGTAACACGCTCACGGAAAGTTTTGACTTTTTAACGGGCGTGAAGCAAGGCTAAGATTTGGCATCGACATAATTTTATTTTTTCGTCAAAAACCTTGCACGTGGTAGAAACGGCCCTGACCTTGGTAATAAAGTCGTCGATTTTAAGTTTTCTCTTCGTATGTATGCAGATGACATTGTTCTCGTGACAGACAGCGAAGAGATATAAGTTAATCTCAAAGAAACTGTCTAATGTCAACTCTTTGAAATGTAATTATAACTGTTCACATAATATCAAAACACTTTTGTTTTTGCTTTCCTTGAGGAATATCTGATAACTGCGACAGACCTACCTCGTGCAAAACGACTACTACATAATCATCTGTCAAATATCGGGGCTGAAGACATTCAGTATCAAAACCTAGAACATTGACGGCATTTGCAAAAGAATATGCATTGTTATTTGGATAATGTTTACGCATCAACCTTACGTAGTGCACGCGAGCTCTTTCTGTTAGGTTAGCAAACAAGGCATCTATCAAGCACAGATCTTTCTCATTTTAAATCACATTTGAAAATGGTACGAGATGCTCCCTATAAACTGGCAACGATACTAGATATTTCTCTAGTAGTGTTTGTTGGATAAGTGTCAACTTTCTATCTCTTTCACTTTCGCAATTATCTTGACTTACATTGCTGTTTTAAGCCGACGGGTCTGGGTTGCATCATCAGTCAATATTCACCAACGAATAACTAATAAGAGCCGGTTGAACCGGGTGATGCTCCCCGAATAGCTTTTGGACACAGACAGGTAAACCTCTTGTAGTGTCAAAGTTATGTCACAGACAAAGTTCAAAATATAAAAACAACCCAAATGTTGCGTGCGACACATCGTCTCAATATGGTGATCATTTCTGTGAAATAGTAAAATCAAAATTCAAATAAAAAAGTAATGGGCCGGATACGATTTTGCTGCAAGGATATGCTGTGACCTTGAACTTCAAGGTAGCGACCCAAATGTTACGCG